CGATGCTGTACCCAAGCAACTGCGGAAAGCGGGCAATGGCCTTGGACACCTGCCCATCGCTCAAACCCAATTCGTGCAGCCACTGCAGTGTCGGCTTCAGGTTTGCCTCGATGCTGTACGCAAGCAAATGACTATGTTTCTGCAACATTGACATGGCAACAAGCTCTGACAAGCCAATGTCATCCTGAAGAAACCGCATGATTTCGCACCTTCTGCTTTCCCTTCTCCCAACTGCATTGGAGAGCACCGCTTGGTCCAAAAATGTTCTTGCACGCTCCAGGTTAGAATGCTGCATCCGGCGTGCGGTCTGCAGATGCCGACTTGTCTCTGACCGAAGCAGTGAATCAGTCAGCTCGCTTGCCAAACAGTCAGTAACTTGCCCCAGGCTTTGCAGCAAAGATGTTGTGTCGCTTGGCTGCCAAGTGCCCACCACAGCTTCGACCACGTTGTCTTGGACTTTGGACCAGTTTCGACCGGCATGGGCCACCCTCACGATGTGCGAACCCAAGGGGGCATGCTGCAACAAGGCTGCGTTCTTCCGCTCGTCCGCTTGAATACCGGAGGGCAGCTGATGCCGGTAGTAGCCATCGTACTCCAGAAACAGAATCGCATTCTTCTTTCTCAGCACGCCAGGCACGGCCAAATCCGGGCTCAGGCGACTCGACGCCCAGTTCTCCGAGGGTTCGACGCAAAAATCTCGAAACAGCTCCTTGATGGGGATCTGGGGCACCAGTATCACAGCCAGATGTGACAAGAGCTCCACTTCTGCAAAGCTCCCATGTACATGTCGAGGGTATCCGGCCGTCCACCAGGAAGATGGGCCTGAAACTGCAGGGCCCCGTGCCAGAACACAAAGCCAGCCTACAGCAACTCCCGACAGAGCACTGCTCCTCCCACACGAGCGCCTCCGTCTTCGTAACATCGTGCTGCTTAAGCCACATGCACCCAAATATTTTTTTGATTGCAAACTGGCAGATCGCAATCTAATGACACACAACTCTGAACTCTCGAAGATCTTCCGAACGACTCCAACACCACACACACGGAAACCAGTTACTAAGCCTGGACCCGAAAATTCCCACACTGTCATCCGAGATTGGCAACAAAAGCTCGCCGGAAGAACGCATCTTTCTTGTCGCCGAGACCAAGCTTCCAGTGCTGTTGAGTATCCTGGGCCATTACCCATAGGCCCCATAGTAGTTCCTTTTGTGGCTTATATTCAGGATCCTATTAGGTAATCCCAAAAAGGAACTACTATGGGGCCTGTGGGTAAGGCATAAATCTTGAACCTGCAAGGCCATAGAGCCTAGACCCTAAACCCTAAACCAATGCCTATGGGTAATGCATAAACCCTAAACCCTAAACCCTGAACTACTATGGGGCCTATGAGTAGGGACCAGTTAGAAAGCTTCACTCCCACGTCACCTTGCCGAGCAATACCTAAATTCAAACAAAGAAGGTGTAAACGAAACCCACGAAGTACACCTGGGGCCGAGTCTAGAGTTCAGCCTACCAATAGCAAAGTGAGGATTCAGTTCTTGGGAGATTACGTAATCACTCTGGAGAGGGCGAGCTGTCGGGATCAGGATGAAAGCATCAGGCCTACAGCCTATGGACAACCAAGTTCCCAAACGACGGTGATGCAGTCACATTGTGCTTCAAAATAATGTTGCGTGGCTCCGGAAAGAAAGCTCTAATCAGCAGCTACTACAGACTATAGAGATGTTGTGGAGTCGAGACTCTTCGTTGCGGCATTTTGTCTGCTGGAGGATTGCGACTTGGCAGTTGCGGGGGAGTTCAAGGCTCCGGCGTCTATTCTCACTCATACCCTGAGGGTCCATGTACCCAAATAGTAGATACTTTGGCCTTAAAGTAGTCACATATAGGACATATAGGTGCTTTGGGGCCAATGTATATACTATATGAGTACATGGACCCTTAGGGATAGTGCCAAGCCATGTGAGGTCGGTCTGTGGAGACGTTGTTAAACACAAACCCCCGAATACACCCAGACCTACCAACTGCTGGACGTCTGTCCTCAAACCCTCAGAGAGAGGTTTCTTGCTGGCACCCCCCAATCCGATCAGCTCGAATGGCAGGCGCTTCGCCAGCAAGCCGCCGAATTGAACCACTGAAAATCAATCCCTATGCGGTGGCAGTGAAGATTATGGCATTTGCTGGTATGAGATTTGGGATTTAGGACTGCTTCTGTCCGTATTCTGGAAGGATGGTGCGCGAGCTGAGTCTGGCGTGAAAACCAACTGCGACCTGCATGTCTAGAGAAGTTTGAAACTCTGAAAGCACAACCTCCAAGTCGTAATATAGGGACCTAAACAATTACCAACATTATTCTGGGGATTCCTCATTATAACTATAGTATATTTGGCCCCGAAACCCTAGTCTAATTACTAAGGCCTCTATATTACCTGACGAACCTTTGACCCAGGCCCGAAAGCAGAAAGCCCCAAACACTTGAGATTCTTTTCAGAGTTGTCACAATAGGGACCCAAAAAAGCAAATAAGCAACAAATCAGGATAGGGATATCCCAAACAAGGGATATCCCTATAGAATATTATGCTTATGTGCTTTTTGGGGATTCTTAACACAAACGGATCTTAACTCACCCCTAAACCCAAAACCCTGTTTTCAACGAACAGCCGTCTCGGTGGCTGACGAGTGGGAGGAAGAAGAGCTGGCACTTTGGACCTGGAAGCGCCGGAGTTGCGACAGATCTCGCTTGGGGTTCCGGGTTCATACAAATTCCAAGAACGGTTTTTGTTTTGAGTGACAGGGCCGGGCGTGCGAAAGAACCAGAACCCAAGCCAAGAAGCCATCGGCATCTTAGTCCCGTCCTGAACTTGGGTGCTTAAGGCTAAGGGTCCTCGTCATGCTACCGATAGAGGCGCCGCCAAATGACATCGGAGATGCACGACAACACAAGGCTGGGGCAATTCAACTCAACATATGGCAGAAGCCCAAAAGTTGGAAACCCAATCCTCAATCCTTAAGAATAATGTATAGGGGATCCCAGCACCATTTGTACTTCATCCGGTTTCCAACTTTTTGGGGTTTACTATATAAGTAAGGTACGGGTTCTAGGTGCCTTAACTAGAGTAGTAAGTAGATATAGCTACACTTACCTTGCTTATAACTCTACTTACTAGGCCCCCATTCCACTTAACCCTAAACCCTAAACCCTAAACTTAATTCAACGGATTGAAATCGACTCGGGGTCCATGGGCAGGGTCATAAATTGCAAGATCGCATCCCTAAACCCTGGCCAAGGACCCACTCAACAATGTGTTCTTGGGATTTGGCAGCTGGGCTCCTGAACCCTAAAACCTTATACCCTAAACTCTAATACCCTGAACCCTGTACCCTAAACCCCCGAACCCCGAAACCCCTAAACCCTAAACCCGAGGTTTCGGGTTACCCTGGACCTCTCCTGGCCTGGCATTGTCTAGCTTGGGGATCTATCAGTTCTAGAAGTTCGAGGTGGGCATCGGTGTTTCAATTAAAGGAAACTACAGGTGGGGGAGT